AGATTTTAAAGGCAAGGTGCTTTAAAATTTTAGGAGATACAAGGACAGGTACAGGTGGATTTAAAAGGTAATGGTCTATCAAATTTACGAGATTCAGGAACAATTGCTTTAAGTTTTTAAGGCTTTTTTTAAAAAAATTTTTACAGGAACCGTTACATCAAGATTCTCAACACTCGGTTGATTAAAATTTATAGGAGAAGGCGCATATTGATTTCCAGACCTGGATTTTAGGTTTAGCAAGAAAATGTACATTCAGATTCAGAGGCGTAGCGAGGCGGGGGATGCGGACCGCACCAGGTGACACCATCGGGGGGGGGGGGAGCTACACCAAGACAATAAATTGTAAAATATGTCGAAGAGAAATGCTTTTTGTCAGTTCAATTAATGATTAATTATATATACTTTTTTTGCTGGTGGTGGTGGGGGGTTGACAACATGAGGTGTCGCACCGGTGACACCTGACCTAGTTACGCCACTGTTATTATAGCAAGAACATTTCTATTCAGATTTACAAGGGACTTCAAGAGAATGTATATTCAGATTTAAAGGAACAGATAAATGAAAATGTACAGAGTCAAGCACATTTACAGTTATATTTCAAAAGAACCGTCCGAATACAAAGCTTCCATCACATAATCCATGTTTCCAGAAAGCTCGCCCTAGGAGTCCAATTTAAGAATTCTTCTATAGAACACATACGTCCAATTTTAGGAACATTTTTACTTTCTCGTATATACGAAGTATAGAGAAAGTCTTGTAATCGTGCAAAAAAAAAAAAAAAAAATCGAGATTTTTGCAAATCTCGACGTTTTGCATCTCACTGATACGGAAAAACATAATTTTGCAATCTTGTCCGTATGTCTGTGTGTGTGTGTGTGTGTGTGTGTGTGTGTGTGTGTGTCCGTGTGTAAACACGATAACTTGAGTACCGTTACAGCTAGGTTGATGAAATTTCATATATAAGTATTTAATCAAAATCGTAGATCCGTATCAACTTTTGAGCGATTTCCGATAACCGGAAATGGTACTTTTCCTACTTTGAATTTTTCAAAAGCCTATAACTTGAGTACTATTTCAGATAGATAAATGAAATTTCATACGTAAGTAAAAGATCTAATTCTCTACCTTCTATTAAATTTTGAGTCATTTCCGTTGACTGGAAGTAGTACTTTACGCTACTTCCGATTTCTCAAAAAACTAATGTAAATTTTAAAAGTAATAATAATATTGCGCACTATTATGCGCTTTTTTATTTCGCGTTCACTTGGTGTGCAATTAATTTGTCTACGAGATTTTATTCTATTTTTAAAACTTTAATTATTTAAAATGGATTAAAAATCATGTCTATAGCCCGAGTTCCCATCCCCTGTTATTTTATATAAGAATATTCGAGAAAGTTTAGGGGAGATCACTCCCGGTTTATTTAATAAAGCGTTTGTAAAGTCTGTATCAAATCTCCGTGTAAATATGAACATGCCAATTGTGCTGTGACGTTTATTTAGTCGCAAAAATTACAAGGACTCTATTGCGTAATCAAGCCTGTTAAATTTTCGACCCACTTTTTAATTTGACTTTAATTTCACCTTCATGGAGATGACTTATAATAAAGTTTATAAATGAACACGTCATTAGGGTGTATTGTTTTAATGAGCTGAATCCCATTTAGATGATTATATTCAATGGAAAGTTGGTTAAGTGATTTCAGACTTAACAGTGTGCCAACATAAAAACAAAATGGCCACCACGTATTTGCCTGATGCATCTACTTCCGGCTGAAAACTCAGCTCCATTGCTTTTGACGTAATCTAAATTGGGACATTAACTGAAACCATACTAGCGCGGTAATGTTCTGATAACTCACCTAGTTTTACACTAGATTTTTAAAACATGAGTTACTTCCCTTTTAACGGGAATTTTTTCCCCAGGTCTACATAATATATATATATATATATATATATATATATATATATATATATATATATATATATATATATATATATATATATATATATATATATATATATATATATATAATGCCTTTGAAGGGCTCACAGTTAATAGTAAACATGTTTATCTATAGTCGATTATTAGTTTAGCTGGATGTAGCACAATTTTCCTTTTATGAATGTATATATATATATATAAATAAATAAATAAATAAATAAATAAATAAATATATATATATATATATATATATACATATATATATATATATATATATATATATATATATATATATATATATATATATATATATATATATATAAATATAAATATAAATATAAATATATATATATATATATATATATATATATATATATATATATATATATATATATAATATTTACCTATTAGTCGAAGTCGATTTCTTATTGTCGTGATCTATGAACAACTAATGCGCGTAAAACTGCTACAATGTCTTCATACTATCTTAGAATTTTAAAATAAAGTTTATTCATTGTACAAATCAAACCACACCTAAATCAAAATAAACAAACCG